TTTTAAAAAGTTGAGAGGGCATGATATTAATAGGAGCAAAGAAGAAAACACGTACTTGCAGAAAGAGCAAGAAGACAAAACCAATGCACTGGAACGTGAACGGTATAGCAGGTGAAAAACACGATCACAGTTTAAAAGGACACCCTTGTACCTAGAAAAACTAAATCAAAAGGAATACTAACACAGATTCTCAGAAAAGTACTGAAATTTAATGAAAAGAAAAATTCAAAGCATCAAGGCAAAGGGCCAAGTCATTTATAAGGGGGAAAATAAAACTACTCAGACTTTTCGACAGTATGATGACGGAAGACAGTGGAGTAAGAGGCTTCACATACCCTCAGCCTCACCCGCACCCAAAAAACACATGAGCCAGAGGTTTTATAGTCAGTTATATGAACTTTGCATGTGAGGTGTCGACCAAACACAAGCATATGTGTATTACTGCCCAGGCTCTCCCCTTCATCTACTCATCAGTGAACTTGAAACAAGAGGACAATGATGGTGTAAGGGCTGGTAGTGAGAAGTAAGCATAGACTTATTTATAGTACAAAGATTAATTGATGGTCATTTGTGATGTAATAAGGACATTGTTATAAGGGCTTTCTTCTCAAACAAGAAAGAGTGTGACTACCAAATGTTGCAGGAGAATTGAAATATATAAAAATCAGGGACCAGCGCCATGGCTCACTTGGCTAATCCTCCACCTGCGGTGCCAGCATCCCATGTGGGCACGGGGTTCTAGTCCCAGTTGCCCCTCTTCCAATCCAGCTCTCTGCTGTGGCCTGGGAAGGCAGTGGAGGATGGCCCAGATGCTTGGGCCCTGCACCCGCATGGGAGACCAGGAGGAAGCGCCTGGCTCCTGGCTTTGGATCGGCGCAGCGCCGGCCGTTGTGGCCATTTAGGGGGTAAACCAACGGAAGGAAGACCTTTCTCTCTGTCTCTCTCTCTCTCACTGTATGTAACTCTACCTGTCAAATAAATAAATAAAAAATCTAAAAAAAAATCAATTCAGAGGTGGTATTGTGGCCCCAGTGGGTTAAGACCCTACTTGCGATGCTGACATCCCAACTCATTGTATCGGTTCAAGTTCCAGAGACTCTGCTTCCAATCCAGCATCCTACTAAAGCACCCTGGGAGGCAGCAGATAACGGCTCAAGCACTAAGGCCCCTGCCATCTGTATGGGAGTCCTGGATGGAGTTCTAGGCTCCTGGCTTCAGCCTGGTGCAGTACTGGCTGCTGCATGTATTTGGGGAGTGACAGTGAATAGAAGATAGCAATCTTTCACTCTCTCTCCTCTGTCTCTCTCTACATATATATGTTTCTCTCAGTCTGTTGATCTGCTTTTCAAATAGATGAAAATAAAAAAAAACAATCATTTAAAAATTCAATCTAGCTCATGGAAGGTGTTATAGAAATTAACCTGTGGTAGAGACAATTGTAAAATTAGATGTTGGGCTAGGGGCAGGAGTGGTGAGAAGAGATGTCAGATGATGTCAGATGTTAGAAAAGAGACAGGAAAGAATAATTAGCAGAAAAAGAGAAAATATAAAAATGGGACCCAGAGGATTAAATAAAAATATTATAAACATAACCATCCAAACATAAATGCAAGCCCTTCTAAATACTAAATAGAGAGAGAGAGAGAGAGAGAGAGAGTGTCAAGAGACAGGATTTATAGTAGCCAATTATATGGATAAAATATCATGATTCCATATTCAATATAAAACCATATGACATAACAGGAATAAATACAGTAGTATAATAAGTATAAATGGGTTTCATTCATTTCCTGAAAGATTTAAGGGAACTGCCATATCACATCACAGAAGAATGTCATTTCAGTGATGGCTTGATGTCATCAATGATCTGAGAGACCTCTTTGAGCTAAGAAAATATGAATTTATACACATCCAAGAGTAAATGATGAACTAAAAAACAAATCTTGGGCCAAATAATGAGGTTATGAATTAATTATTGACATAAAAATGTTCATGGATTACAGTTTAAAAACTCCAGTTGTTCTACAAACCCTGTTCTATAAACTCCCATCTTGCCAAGAAAATATGTGTGCATACATGTGTATGTGTGTGAATATGCATGTGCATACACGCAAGTATGAATGTACAAATGCAAATTGTGTGTGTGAATATTGTTTGCATGCATATTTGTGGTTTCTGAGAATACATGCATTTTTATTCCTTTCAGGAATATTTTTATTCCTTTCATTATAGTTAGAATGTATAATATTATGATAAGTTAAGATAGTTCTGAAATCACTTCTCTACTGACTACAAGTACAGTTAAAGTTAATAGGGTATAATTCACAGATACCTTCTCCTTACCTATGCCATTGCACAAACTTCAAAACTCAGGGTAGTCAATTACATTCAATGGATGCACTTGTGTCATCATGAATCATTTAGTAACATAGACGTTTAATTATATAATTAGATTAGGAACTCAAGTGCCACTGAGGATTGATTTAATTTCAAAGTAAAATACAAAAAGAAAAAGAAATCAATTCTCTAAGGGTAAGCTTACATTCTACAACTATAAAAGACATTTTTTCAAATAACGTGGGAAAAGATATTGAGCATTTCCAACAGTACTATGGTATAAATTAATAGAAAAACTGTTTTAAAAAGACAATCATAGATCAAATTTATGGATCAGTTAGTTGGCTTAATAGAGAACACTAATTACGTAGAATTATTTTAGAGTCTATAGTAGGCCATTTAAACAGTACAAAATAGCAACGACTATAAAATATCAATATAAACAAGGAAAATGGAGTAAAACTCCAATGGTTAAAGTAATAATATTACAACTAATAAAAATATAGAAGTCTTGATATAATTCCTGGGGTGACAATTTAGATGAAGATTAAAACAGGTTGTCTTCATTCTTGCAATCTTAATACAAATCCACACCTTAGCTCAAATCCAAGATATGCTCAACTCTTGTTGGCAGCTCCAGTTCCAAGTATGCTGGAGTGTTTAATCCTATGCTGTCCTCCACTAACAGCAGCTATGAATTCTGCACAGGGGAAGTCAGCACCTGAAGGTTCTGTAGACTGCGCAAAGGCAGCTGGGGTTTGAGAGTCAAAACCTGGAGTGAGCAGACCAACAGCAGTGAATTCCCTGTATTTTCCATTGTTGACCTGTGAGGGACAATATCAGGGGAAGAGGTGGGGTAGGGGGTGATTAGAAATCCCAATAAATTATCCACTGTCTTTCTCTAGAGGAATTGGGTTAAGGATGGCAGGACAATCACAGCAACAATGAAAGAGATGAGAACAGCACAGCACGTGCTGGAAGTAAGCATAAGTCTGATCCTGAACCACGCATGCGCGGTGAGCACTTAAGCTAAGGCTCATTGACACACTGGACAAAGACCTGTCTCACTACCTACTGTAGGCACAGTGATTTCCAGTTGGATTGTAATTGCGTTAAGCACATTCTAAAACCAAGTATCAAAACTCTTCAGAGTAATATAACAAAATCTGGAATCTTTATTAAAAATGTCCCAGATAAAGTACAAAATTATCCCATATACACAAAGTCAGAAAAATGGTAATTCATCTAAAGGGAAAATATAGTCAAAACACTGTAACACTGAAATGACCCAGAAATTGGAATTATTGAAGTGTAAAAGATAATTGGTACATTCCAACCCTAAGATGACCCAGAAAATGAACTCCATTAGCTTTATTTATTAACATATACACACATATGTATATATTTGTATGCATATATGAATAAATTTATTTAAAACCAAGACACTTTCATGTCCAGATAGTTCTTGCATGTATGTGTTAAGTAGGAAGGAAGAAAGGGATGAGCTGGGGGGGAGGATGGAAAGGGAGGGAGAGAGGGAGGAGAAGGAAGGAGGAAGATACAACACATTTAGGGATCACCTTGATCCAAATTGTGTCAACTCTTATTCCATAAGGAAAAAGACCTTTAGCAGCTTTTATAACTATGTCTAAATAAGTAAAGGAAAATATAATATTAGTAAATGAAAAGGCAGACAATGCCAGGAAAAGTATAAAATATGCAAAATGACTGAATTGTAGGTTTTGAATTTATTATTATTCTATTTGAAGGCAGAGAAAAAAGATCTTCCATCTGTTTACTCCCCAAATGCCCACAAGAGCTAGGGCTGGGCCAAGCTGAAATCAGGAAACCAGAACTCAATCTAGGCCTACCACATGGGTGACAGGGACCCAGGAATTTGGGCTATCGCTTACTGCTTCCCAGGATGCATATAAGTAGAATGTTGGGTTGGAAGTAGAGGAGCTGGGACTCAAACCAAGTATTCCAATACAGGATGAGAACATTCGAAGCCATGACTTAACTGCTGTTCTACATGCCTGCCCTCCATATGGAAATTTTTGTCTTGAAAATATATCATAAAAAAAGAATTCACTGGGTGAGTTTAATAGCAGAGTTAAATGATGTAAGGAAAATTCAGTAAACCTAAATCAACAAAAGTCAGTCAATCTAAAAATGTTTACACAAAAATTTCTTTTTCAAAATTAACAGAATCTCACGGACTTCTAAGACAACTTAAAAAGGCCTAACATAAAAAAGCTGATTTTATGGTTGGTTTAAAAAGTATACAATATCAATGCCAGTTAAAGTCCCAGTTGCTCTACTACCAATCCCACTTCATGCTAATGCATCTGGGAAAGCAGAGGAAGATGGCCTAAATATTCAAACACATGCACCTATGTGTGAGACCTGGATGAAGCTCCCTGGCTCCTGGCTTCGGCCTGGACCAGCCCCAGCCATTGCAACCATTTGGCCATTTGGGGAATGAACCTGCAGATGAAAGATTCTCCTCTCTCTCTCTCTTTCTCTCTCCCTCTCCCTATCCCTATCCGTCTTCCTCTCCCTCTCCTCCCCCTCCCCTCTACCCTTCTCTCTCTGCAATTCTGCCTTTCAAATAAAATAAATAAATCTTATTTTAAAAATGAAAGTAAAGGGATTAAGAAAGAGATGCCTTGCAAAAAAGGAAAGAGCAAACATAACAAAGCAGGAGTAATCTAATTAACAGAGTTTAAGTTAATATGTATTACCACAGAAAGGGGGTGTTGTTAATAAGGCTGAGTCAGAAATAGAAAGCAATCATAGATGTGTATGCATCTAATAACAATGCTTAAATAATACACGTGAATCAAAAACAACAATATTAAAAAAGAAATTCTACAATTATGGTAGAAATTGATAGAACTAGCCAAAAACTGGCAAAATGAATAGAAGCAGTAAACCTGGGCTTTGTGGGTTCGTTCACACTATGAGTAGTTACATTCATGGAGGTAGCAAGGCAGGAGAGATAAAAATTATTTCCATTGGTTAAAAAAAAGAAAACAAACAAACAAAAAAACCCACTGTCAACCAATTTTGACCTGATACGTGTGATAGGTATAGGACACTGTGTCCAAGGAGAAGCAGTAGATTCTTGCAGTGTGTCAGGTATGTTTACTGAGTGGGGAGTTGTCTTATGTCAGAATGATCTTAAATTTCAGGTGCTATAAAAAGAGTTTACACTTACACTATAGGCACAGTGATTTAAGCCAGAACCCCAAAACTGAGTGCCAAGTCAAATCCTGGCTGCTTGTCTTCTGATCCAGCTCCTTGCTCAAAGTTCTTGGGAGGGCAGCAGATGATGATCCATGTCCATGGGCACCTGCCACCCATGTGGAAGACTGGCTCCTGACTTCAGCCTAGCCCAGACTTGGCTATTGTATCCTACTGGGGAGTAATTCAGCAGATGGAAGACCTCTTTGCTCTTCCTCTCTGTCACTCTGCGTTTCAAACAAACAAAGAAATCTTTAAAAAATATTTCAAGCTGGGGCCGGCGCCGTGGCTCACTTGGTTAATCCTCCACCTGTGGCACCGGCATCCCATATGGGCGCCAGGTTCTAGTCCCAGATGCTCCTCTTCCAGTACAGCTCTCTGCTGTGGCCTGGGAGGGTGGTGGAGGATGGCCCAAATGCTTGGGCCCTGCACCGGCATGGGAGACCAGGAAGAAGCACCTGGCTCCTGCCTTCGGATCAGTGCAGTGCCGGCTGTGGTGGCCATTTGGGGAGTGAACCAACAGAAGGAAGACTTTTATCTCTGTTTCTCTCTCTCTCACTGTCTATAACTCCATCTGTCAAATAAGTATAAAAAAATTTCATGCCTAAGTAAACAAAGCAACTGTTTACTTTTTAATTTTTTGACAGGGGGTAGGGAGGGAGAGAGAGAAAACAGGAAAGATACAGAGCTCCCATCCACTGGTTTACTTTTCTTTTCTCTCTCTCTCTCTCTTTTTTTTTTTTTTTTTTTTTTGACAGGCAGAGTGGACAGTGGGGGAGAGAGATAGAGAGAAAGGTCTTCCTTTTGCCGTTGGTTCACCCTCCAATGGCTGCTGCGGTGGGTGCGCTTCGGCCAGCACATTGCGCTGATCTGAAGCCAGGAGCCAGGCGATTCTCCTGGTCTCCCATGTAGGCACAAGGCCCAAGGACCTGGGCCATCCTCCACTGCACTCCCGGGCCATAGCAGAGAGCTGGCCTGGAAGAGGGGCAACCAGGACAGAATGTGGCGTCCCGACCGGGACCAGAACCCGGTGTGTCAGCGCTGCAGGTGGAAGATTAGCCTATTGAGCTGTGGCGCCGTCCCCACTGGTTTACTTTTCAAGTACCTACAACATTTGGGATGAGCCATTCAGAAGCCAGGAGCTGGGAACTCAATACAAGTCCTCCACATGGGTGGCAAGAAATCAACCACATAAACAACCACCATCACGTCCAAAGATTGCATTAGCAGGAAGTCCGAGACAGGAGTGGGATCTGGGTACCCTAGTGTGGGTACCCTGATGTGGGATACAGGCATCTTAACTGGTGTCTTCACTGCCAACCATCTCCCCAAAACAATCATTTCATTATAATTGATAATGATTAAAACATTGCCTGAATGAATAGCTACATTTCTTGAATACTTGAGTTCAACAAAGCAATTGTACACGCACATTCATGTATTATACACACAGAGCACACTTCACACAGTTCCTAGAAAATTGTATTAAAGCTATACTCAGATTTCAAAAAGATTTTATATCAAAATAAGGCTATCTTTTAATTTCACTTTTCCATGAACTTTTTCAAGTACACTCACACACATGTGTACACAGATGTATATTTTATTTCAAAATACTTATTTTCTTTAAAAGGAACTATGAGACAACTCCATAGACACTAATCTTTTCAATGGATCTGTTGTAGTCCATCCTAAATCCTTTTTCTGCCTTCATCAACTTATATCCAACTTTATTCTAATAGAATTCAGTTCTTTATTTTATTAACTTGTTCTGTCAGTTGTATTTTTCATTCTAATTAACCATTGAGTAAATAGTATGCAAACCAAAGGCCTAGACCCACAAAAAGAAAGTCATCTATATGAAAAATAATAATGCTTTAGAAAGTCTCAATTTGAAAAAGTGAGTGATAAAAGAGATCACTGTAAATCAGTGTATTGGACAGCTTTTCATTACTTTCACTAAAATATCCAAGAGGAGCTAAACAGAAGAGGAAAGGTTTATTTCAGCTTACAGTTTGAAGGTTCATGGTCCAAAACTGAGTAGCCTCGAGAGTCCGGCAACTGATAAGGGTGGTGAATGGAAAAACCTAGGCAGAGGGGAGATTACATAGTGAGCCAAGAAGTAACCTTCCTTCCTACACCCTAAGGAGATCATTCATAAAGTCACCTTCAAAGCCCGTGTTCAGATTCCATAATCCAATTACGCTCCATTCTTAGTCCATTAAAATAAGACTCTCATGGATCAAAACTTTAACTACAATCATTTTCCAAACCATAACACTAGGGCAACCAAAGGAAAAAATTCCATTGCAGAAGGGTTCTGAAATCAGATTTATTCCCAAAATAAATGTCTCATTTCACTTTTAAGGAAATACCATTGGAAAAAACAAATAACACTCAAGTGTGTGTAACTTGCATTTGTATGTGTGTGCATTTAAAAAGCTGAGATGGTCAATTATCTAATTCCTACTCAAGAAGTTTGGCTGGCCGGTGCCACGGCTCAATAGGCTAATCCTCCACCTAGCGGCGCCGGCACACCGGGTTCTAGTCCCGGTTGCCCCTCTTCCAGGCCAGCTCTCTGCTATGGCCCAGGAGTGCAGTGGAGGATGGACCAAGTGCTTGGGCCCTGCACCCCATGGGAGACCAGGATAAGCACCTGGCTCCTGCCTTTGGGCCAGCACGGTGTGCCGGCTGCAGCATGCCAGCCACGGCGGCCATTGGAGGGTGAACCAATGGCAAAAGGAAGACCTTTCTCTCTGTCTCTCTCTCTCTCACTGTCCACTCTGCCTGTTAAAAAAAAAAAAGAAGTTTGGCTTTGGGGCCAGCCTATGGTGTAGTGTGTAAAGCCACCACCTGCAGTGCCAGCATCCCATACGGGCGCTGGTTGAATTCCTGGCGGCTCCACTTCCAATCCAGCTCTCTGCTATGGCCTAGGAAAGCAGTAGGAGATGGACCAAGTCCTTGGGCCCCTGCATTCATGTGGGTGATCTGGAAGAAGCTCCTATGTCCTGGCTTCAAATCAGCGCAGCTCCAGCTGGTGTGGCTATTTGGGGGAGTGGTCCAAGGGATAGAATCTCTTTCTCTCTCTGCCTCTGCCTCTCTGTAGCTCTGCCTTTCAAATAAATAAATAAATAAAACTTAAAAGAAAAAGAAGTTTGGCTTTGATAAACACCTCTGTGCTCTCCAATTTGCTAATCTGGATGAAATGGACCAATTCCCTGAAAGACACAATCTACAAAACTCAAATGAAGATACAATCTCGATGGACCTCTATACACCAAAGAAGTTGAATAAATAGCAGGCCCAGATGGAGTCACAGGTTATATAATAACTCTCTGCAATCTCTTTCAGAAAATAGAAGCAAAAAGAGTACTTCTCAACTGGTTGTGTGAAGGTCAGCATTGCCCTAACATCAAAACTAAGACAAGAACATTACAAGAAAATAAATCTACAGATTAACATCTCTCATGAGCATAGTTTAATCTTTAATATTAGTAATCCAAATACAGCAATGTATAAAGAGAATCGTGGTCCATAACCACATAGGATTTACCAAGATATGCAAGAACAATTAAATATTCAAAAATCAACGAATGCATTTTGTCACAACAATAGACAATATTGACAATATATTTAGAAAATAAATAAAGAAAAATCATATGATCCTATCAATAAATACAGAAAAATCATTTGACAAAATCCTATACCCATCTCATAACAATTCTTGTTAACTTAGGAACAGAATATCTACAAAAACCTAAAGTTTGTGTCACATTTAACACGGAGAAACTAGAAGATTTCCCATGAAGATCAGGAAACATCACCAGGGCTTTTCATCCTGAAGTCACAGTTTACACAGTAAGAGAATAAAATAAAAGGTACACTGACAGAAAGGGAACAAACATAATCATCTTTGCTTACAGCTGGCATGGTTTTCTATGTAGAAGATTGGTGAAAATAAAAAAATCTCCTGGAATTAACAATTATGGCAAAGTTGACATTACACTCCTAATAGAACACACTATACTACTATATCAGTAAAGACCACATTGTTCATCATGACAACAGATGGCACAGTGCCCTGGAAGATCCTCCTCTACTTGGGAATACATATATAGTACACTTAATATACTATACTAAATATACTATAATACAAAATAATATAAAATCAATAACTTCCCTATGCACTAGCAATTAAAAGATGGAAATTTAAATTACAAATGCAGTAGCATTTACTTTAGCACACCATAAAATGAACCACTTAGGTATAAATCTAGCAAAGTGTGTACAAACACCATATAAAGGATCTTCAAAAATTTCAGGGAAGATGTATATTTTGAAGAAATGGTTCATAGATTTCAAAAACTTGTGCACCAAAATAAACTCCTAGTTCAATTCTATTTTTCCATAAACTTTTTGAAGTACCCTCAAATGAGAAAAATTTGGGGGGCTATCACCACATAGTAAACAGCCTAGGTGACTTCAACAGCCAAAATTTATTCTCTTTCAATTCTAGAGGATGAAGTCCATGACCACATATTGGCAGACTGGCTTCTTCTGGGGACTGAAAGGATAATCTTCTGAGGACTTTCTCCTATGCTGATAGGTGAACATCTTCTCCTTGGGTCACTTCGCAGCACCATCCCCTCTATGCTTGCCTGTCTGTGTGTACAAACTCCCCCTTTTGACAAGAAAGTCCATCATCATAGATCAGGTCATAGCCTAATAACTTCACTTTAACTTGACTACCTTCTTGACGTCCCTATCTCTGAATAAAATCACATTTTAAGGAACAATGTATTCAGGCTTCAATCTCTTTGAGGAGAACACAATTTAATCCACCACATCTTTAATCCTTGATCAATATTGAAATCAGTACTATTATCCAACAGATGAAGAAATGGACGAGCTGATCATAGTGTTTTACACACTGAAGCTATAGAAGCAAACCCAAAATATCAGTAAAGACCACATTGTTCATCATGACAACAAATGGCACAGTGCACCTGGAAGATCTTCTTCTACTTAGGAATACACACACACACACACACACACACGTGAAGCCATCTTGCAAAAAGGATGTACTGAATTGGAAAATTGAGTAATTGTGGGAAGAATTTGCTTCAACATCACATTTCAGTTGTTTCTTTGATCTATTGGTTCTTATTTCCAGCTGCACTTTTTTTTTAAGATTTTATTTATTTATTTGAGGTAGAATTACAGCAGAGAGAGGGAGAGACAGAGAGAAAGGTCTTCCATCCGCTGCTTCACTCCCCAAATGGCTGCAATGGCCACAACTGGATGATCTGAAGTCAGGAGCCAGAAGATTCTTTCCAGTCTCCCCAATGAGCACAGGTGCCCGAGCACTTGGGCCATCCTTCCACTATCTTCCCAGGCCATCAGCAGAGAGCTAGATAGAAAGAGGAGCAGCAGAGAGGAGCAGCAGGGACATGAACCAGTGTCATTTGGGATGCTGGCACTACAGACAGAGGTTTAGCCTACTACGCTGCAGTGTCAGTCCCATCCAGCTGCTCTTGAGAATTTTCAAACATTTAAAACTTAAGAATGACCAGAACTATGGAAAGACCATAGTTTTCATAAATCCACAGGTGTTTCTAATTTCAGCTAGTGTTGAGAACACCATGCTATTGTTAAGATTACATAATATATTTTTTCATATTCAACATAAAGTATTATCTATATCCCTTAAAGAATAAAGCCCATCTCAGTCATGAAAAAAGTACCATCCAGCGATCAGGAAAAACATAATTACTGAGCACATCTCACATAGTAAATCCCATGCTGAGAACACTGTCCTTTCTTCTTTCATTAGGAAAAGAATTTGATGGCAGTAAGTGTACTTCTGTAACATTCTGGGCAAATTAGCCAGGTGACCTGGGGACCTTGCTTAAAAACTCTCTTTCTTTGATTTCTCATCAGTGAAAAGGAATTATAAAATCAACCATTTTTTAATTTTCAAGAGTATGTGAAAACTGATTAAGAAGAGGGAAAAAAGAGAATTTTGAGACACAAAGCACTATGCAAAAAAATTGACTAGAGTTATCATTGTTGTCATTCTGTGGGCTGCTAAATTATCTAGTACTCTGTATCTTCATGCTACACATCTTTTTAAGTTGTCAGCATTATAAAATTAGAGAAGGCAATTATTAAGAAAGTGACTACTGAATTCAATGTTTTAGATGAATCAGGTAAATGTAGTGGCTTTTATTTCTTATAATATATGGAGTTAACTGAAAAGTTTTCTATCTGCATATACCTCAACATTTGCTGATGAAAGATGAACAAATCAATCCCTGGAAAAAATATAGAACCCAGGGGGATAGAAGGTGTCATAAAGGCATAAATATGTAAAAGCAAAACAGGAAAGAAATGAACATTAAGTGTCTACTAGATACGACACTCCTGGACACTTAATGTTCAGTCTCAACAACTGTCCAGTGCTCTGAGTTTTCCTTTTTTTTCACATGCTCTTTAGGTGCTAGGACCTTGGTTCAGATGCTATTCCGCCTGATGTCAGGATCCTGCACGATACTTGACAAGGAAATTCAATGGAATGAAAGTGATACAAGTCTCAGGGTGCTCTGAGAGCAATAAGGCAATGAAGGGAAAGATTGGGAGAGCACAGATCCAAACTAGAGTATCCATCTCATATCACCATGTGAATCACTGACTCCCTGAGACACTGAACACTGCTGAGTGTTCAAGTCCCTAAAGGTGCTTGACTGAGTCCAAGGAAATCAGAACAGTGCTCTTAATACCATAAATACAAGCAGGAGTTAGTGGACTGACAGCTACATGACAATATCTACTTCTGAAAACATGACATATATAGAAAATGAGATGTACAAATCCCTCAGAAATCAGTATTCATAATTTTAGGTTCCTGACTAGGATCACGTTTGGACCCACATTAGTTATAATCATGCTACCCAGGAAAAATTGAACATTCATGCACACATTGAAAATAATTTATAAGCAGTATGCGGAAATTGATGACTTGAACACACCTGTGGCACATCTGCCCACATCTACTCTACTCTTCAGCATTACAAAACAGCCCTACTTG